TTGCACTAGTGTGGCTTTGGGTTTCTTATATGTTGGTTTGGCTTATGTTTCTTCATAAACGTGCATAATGGTTTTTAAACTTGATAAAGGCATGATTTCAACTAAATGTACTATTTATGCATGTTTTAAGGATTTTGTGCATGGCTTCCATACTTAGTACATGTTTTGTGCTAACCCATATTTTCTACATTCCATGAGTGTAGGTTCCGGCCGTTGATACATTCTACTTTCTTCAAGTGAAGCTTCGGTCGACTATTCCCTAAGCTTGGTGAGTCCTCAAGTTCAAGGACAAGATGCTATTGTTTCTAGTTTCTATTGTATTTTCTACTTTGAGACTATTATAGTTGTAAAGGGCTTTTGACCCTATTTGTACTCTTTATGTACTAGATGGTGATTGAGACAATTCTAGATTCGTATTTTCGTTTATGAAAAAGAAGTTGAACTTCGATTGTAAAAGTTTTAAATTTTTCCGCATTATTTTATGTCTTGATGTTATGATTATGCTAAGGGTTTGTATGCGACCCCTTCGGGGTCAAGTACGTTGTGTTACGTCTAGGGGATAACTTTGGGTCGTAACAAACTTGATAATCAGAGCACAAGGTTTAGAATGATTCTAGGATGATGTCTCAAGAACCACGTCTAGTAGAGTCTTGTTCATAAGTGTAAAGAGCGCCACACTTATGAATGAGAGGCTATAAGATGTTTAGGAACTTTCACTTCTTTCATTACTCTTTAGTCATGCTTTGGAGTCCTAACTCTATGAAGTCCTCTCCTAATCTTTCTCTTGTGATTATAGGCAATGAATAGAAGAAGAGGGAATGTAGGGAGGGTGTAAGAGGAGAATGTCAATGAGGGATTTCCTCCCCAAGCTCCTCAATATCCTAAAGCTCCTAACGAAGAGGGGGCTATGACCAATGTGGAGATAAGGACGGCTCTCCAAACATTGACTCATGCTTTGACGGCTCAAGTCACTAGGGATCCTAGGGTTCAAGTGAACCCCAATGTGAGTACAACCACTTCAAGGATAAGGCATTTCACTAGAATGAATCCCCCTATGTTATATGGCTCCAAAGTAGATGAAGACCCACAAGGCTTTACAGAAGAAGTGTTTAAGGTGGTTGATGCTATGGGTATGTCATCTCAAGAGAAGGCAGAACTAGCCACCTACCAATTAAAATATGTGGCTCAAGTATGGTATGAGCAATGGAAGGATGAGAGACCCGTGAGAGCGGACCCGGAAGATTGGGGATTGTTCAAGTCGGCCTTCCTTGATAAGTTTTTCCCCCTAGAGTTGAGGGAGAGAAAGATGCAAGAATTCATCAACCTTCGCCAAGGAGCTATGAGTGTGAAGGAGTATGGCCTTAAGTTCACCCAATTATCTAAATATGATCCAACCTTAGTAGCGGACTCTAGGGCCATGATGAACAAATTTGTTATGGGGATATCCGACTTGGTAGTCAATGAATGTCATTCGGCAATGCTCATCCCAAGTATGAATATTTCATGTCTCATGGTTCATGCCGAGTAAATTGAGGAACAAAAGCTCAAGCAAGTGAATAGAGAGGTAAAAAGGGCAAGGACCGATGATGGGAATTCTTCCAAGGGTAAATTTGAGGTCCAAGGTAAACCAAGGTTCAAGAAGAGGTTTTCCAACCAAGGCTCATCTAGCACTCCAAGGGTCGCCAAAGAAAGGGTGTCTAACCCTAAGCCAAAATAAGGTGATAGTGGTAGCTCTTATGTTGAAAGACATATTTGTGCAAACAGCGACAAGAAGCATGAAGGAAAGTGCCTAGTTGGCATGGATGGTTTCTTTAGTCGTGAAAAGAGCGGTCATATGAAGAAAGATTGTCCCATGCTAAGTGCTCAAGGAAGAGAGGGCAACCAAGTCCCTCCTAGTGGCTTAAATTCCGATGCTCCCAAGAAGAATCGCTTCTATGCTCTTCAATCCCAAGGGGATCAAGAGAGTTCCCCGGACGTGGTAACGGGTATGTTGCAAGTCTTTTCCATTAATGTTTATGCATTGTTAGACCCGGTGCTACTTTGTCATTAGTTACCTCCTTTGTGGCTATGAAATTTGAAATACTCCCCGATGTTTTAGAAGAACCTTTTTCTGTGTCTACCCCGGTCGGTGACTCGGTAGTGGCAAAAAGAGTCTATAGGAGTTGTCCTATTTCTTTGTCCCATAAAGTCACTTTGGTTGATTTGGTTGAATTTGACATGCTTGATTTTGATGTAATTTTGGGCATGGATTGGTTGCATGCATGTTATGCTTCAATAGTTTGTAGGACTCGAGTGGTCAAATTTCAATTTCCAAAAGAGCCAATTTTAGAGTGGAAAATGGGGAATTCTATTCCTAGAGGTCAATTTGTTTAATGTTTAAAAGCTAGAAAAATGATCTCCAAAGGGTGCATGTATCACATTCTTAGGATTATGGATGTTGATTCTAAGGTCCCTTTTTCAGTGTCGGTCCCCGTGGTGAGTGATCTTCCGGAAGTCTTTCTCAATGATTTGCCCGGCATTCCTCCCGAGCGAGAAATAAACTTTGGCATTGATATTTTTCTGGATTCTCAACTCATATCCATCCCTCCCTATAGAATGGCTCCGGCCGAATTGAAGGAGTTGAAGGAGTAACTCAAAGATTTGTTAGACAAAGGCTTTATTCAACCAAGCATATCTCCATGGGGTGCTCCAGTATTGTTGGTGAAACAGAAAGATGGGTCCCTTAGGATGTGTATTGATTACCGCCAATTGAACAAGGTAACTATAAAGAATAAGTATCATCTTCCTAGGAATTACAATTTGTTTGATCAACTCCAAGGGGCAACCTATTTCGGTGTGGGGGTAGAACATTGGATTCCATGTAGTTCACATGGTCTATGGTGGCTAATGTTATCTTCCCTATATGATACGAATATGAACTATGATATGAACATGAACTTTAATTATGACTTCTTAATAGGTACTACTCATGAGTGGGGGTATGGGACTTCACTCATGCATTGTACAAGTGAGGCCCACCTCACTTATGCAATTTTAGCAAAAGCGATGATCCCATCGCATATGCGAAGGGATCAATAATCAATAACACTCAACTAAGAATAAAATCATCGAATGGACCCTCAAGATTCGTTCAAAAATCCATACACAATTCGTATAGAAAAATTGACTATACTCGATTTTTCAAGAAGAATGAAATCATTGAATCACGAATATGAGGTCTCCTTGACTCGAAACTCATGAAAGTCACAAGAAACTAATCATAATGACTAAAAAGGCTAAATCAAGCTCGGGGCCTCTTACAATGCAACAAAGACCTCACCTAGTCCTAAAATCATCCCCCAAATCCAACAAAACTCTCAAAATTTCAATTTGAGCATCCCAACACTGAAAATTGACAAAAGTCAATGCAAAGAATAATATTACATAATTTTCCAACTTAAAACTTTCAAATCCTCAAAATACTCTAAATCTGACACTGAAAATTCTCCTAGACAAATTTCTACCTTCCGGAATTGATGGAATCTATGGAATTCCAATACGGCACTAAAAACTCTTAAAGACACCAAAAATCACTTTTTAATAACTTTGTCACGACCCAAGGCTAGCCCCTAGATACAACACGGTGTACTCGACCCCGAAGCGGTCTTATACAAGCATCATAGCTCATTCATTGCATAGGTAATAGAAATGGTACGGATTTTAAAACTTTTTATTTTAAAACCATACAATCTAACATTCAAAACATTTAAACCCAAGCGGAAGTCTATCTCTCACATGGTCATCTTAGACACAATCTTGAACAAAAAAATAGGGACACGACCCTTTACAATAGAAATATAAAGTAGTCTATTACATGAAAAGGAAAGCACCTCCTAAACACTTGTCCTCGATCTATGAGGACATACCCAAAATCTCTTGGAGAACTCTAATCCAAGCTTCTCTAGAGCAATGCAAATCACTTACCGGAACCTACATTTGTAGTAAAAACATAGAAGAATGGGTTAGCACACAAAAATGTACTAAGTATGATGACCATGCCTTAAAAGGGGATATTTTGGTTTGAAACCATGCATTATGCCACTTTTTAGAAATATCATGGACACTAGCATAAGAGACATCAAATACAAGTATAATCATCATACAAGTCACAACATCACATTTGAACAACATCAACATGTAACCCATTACCATCACCTTAGACCTTCACCTCAAGTAACCCTAATGCTATAGGTTATGGAATGTATGGATAGCATCCCATACCACCATCCACAATATGGCACCACATTAAGGTCACCAAAAGCTCACTTACCATTCCTTCATTTTTACCTTTCACTACACCATTTTAGGCCTACGGCCACCCCGATAAAGTGTAGCCAAAACTAGCAAAAAGTGTAGCCTCTGATAAAAGGCCACACTTTTTTACTTTAAGCAACACTTTTTAGGGGGTGGCCTAAAGAAGCGTAACCTTAGACATTAGACCACACTTTTGAAGTGTCGCCAAAGCAGCAACACTTAAAAAGCGTGGCCAAAGAGGTATAAAGGCCACGCTTTGGAGTATTTCATTAGCAACACTTTTATCTGATTATATTACACTTAAAAGTGTTACCTTTGTGTTGTTATTGGTTACACTTTAAAAGTATAGCCTTTTATATCTCACCTACAACAACACTTATAAAGTGTAACTTTTCTTATGTACAAGATAAAATTTATGAACAATAAGCCACACTTTCGAAGTGTTGCAATGCTGTGTAGAATTTTTGTAGCCACACTTGCAATAAAATTTAGTTGCATATAATCAATAATCACAATTAAATATATATAAGTGATATAAAGCACAAAATTAGCTTATAAATAATTCGGAAGTATATATTTCAAATTAAATAAACTTCGAGAACATGTCCCATACATATAGAAAGCAATTGCTTACAGATCTCTACTAGCAATACATTCCACAAAACCAAATGTATTCGAACAACATTTATGATAATAGTACAAAAACTCTTTATCGCTCACGATAATAGATCGAGTTTACTTCTGTCCTCTATTCATCAAATTCAATCAGTAGCATTTTCCTGCATATTCAAAATTAAACTAAAGTTAGAGAATCATGTATTTCATATGCTCACTAGTCATTGTTCAATTCCCAGACCCTTCACAGTTAAATGATCCTTAAACATGTACAAAAACTATAAAATCTGGGAGAAAACAGTAGGGCAGGTATTCTAAGACTGTCATAGTAGGAAATTATGAATGATAAAATAAATATGGGAGAAAATAATAGGCAAATAGTTAAATGATCCCAAACATGTACAAAGCACACCCAGATATGAATGATATAATATGGGAGAAAATAGTAGGCAAACATACAAATGCATCACAAACATGTACAAAGCAGAACCATATGTAATAAGAACAATGCATCCCAAACATGTAATAAGTTCATCAACAGTAGATCATCAACACTAGATCAGCTCACTGTGTCACATTTTATCAGAGAAGGGCAATGGAATGAAACTTTGGTAAGGCAACATGTCCTACCACTGCTAATTCCCCTTATTCTTAACACCAAATTGCAATTGCAAGAAGGAGAGAATTGTTACTTTTGGAAGAGAACCTGTAGATTGTTCTTGTTGTAGCAGACCTGGAACTGATTCCATTGATCAAATCTTTGTGTCTGGGAACTTTCCCAATTATATTTGGAAATTCTTTTCAGGTTTCCTGGGCATTACTCACAGACACATTCCTCTAAGAAATACATTGATGGAGTGGTGGAGTATTCAATCTAATTCTGAGTTTCATAAACTTATTCTTCAAACTCTCTCTATTATCATATGTTGAAACTTGTGGAAGAACATGTGATATGCAAAATATGGAGGCAAAAAGTCTAGTAGTGCAAGAGTCAAATTCCTGGTCTTTAAAGATACTAGAACTACTTTCTAAAGCTTCTGAGAAAGGTAAAATTCACAGAAGTTCATCCTAATACAATTATATCTAAATTGATATTTTAATTACATGTATATAATTTATCTAAAACTGTCATATGAATGGGTTTATAAGTTGTATATAATGAAACTCAGAGAAAATTTGGGGCAGAAAGAATAATGTCAAAATTTTTGCTTGAAAGAGATGACTCTAAATGGGCAATAATTAATCCAGTCTCCAAAAAAATTAAAGAAGATGATTTCGGCATATAATAAACGAAAAGAACCTTCAGCGGATCACTAATCCTTGCATTGTTCTTGTGCTATCTTCAACTATCTTGTTAGCATAAATTGTACTAATAATACCTGAAATATTTCCCTGCAAACAGTTTATACTCATAAACATTAATCATATGCGGAGAGCACAATAATCATTATAACTGAGAATTGGAGGTCAAGGATATCTAACTAGATGAAGTAAGAGGATAACATAAATATGTTGCATCACTATGTGTTTAGAGGCTCTGGCAGAACAGCAACAAGAATCATGGTAACTAGCCACACCCGCTCTAAGAACCCAAATTGACTATATGAATAGAGTTTAAGAAGAATGTGACTTACTTTCCAGGTCACAAGCTTTGCTCGAAGCAATTGCCACTGATTTTTCCCAAATACATGCTCTGTACATTATCTGCACAACATCCATTCAAAGGCAAAGAAAAAAGTTACGAATAATTACCAATAAAAGCTTAACTAACCAGAGCTAAACTTATACAACCAAAGCAGAGGTAGTGATAATAAAGGACGACTTCCACAGAAAGCATACCTCACAGTTATTACTTGGTTCATTTGATCTATCTTGCAGCTGAGTAACATAGCTGAAATTGCCTTAACAACCCACGATTCCACCTCAATATCATCAATCTGCAAAGAGCAAAAGACCAATGGTACGACCAAACTATGGAGCACAAATACAAACTACAAGACATGGATAATAAATGTACGTTCATTGTGTCTTTGATCATGGAATAAGGAATTTGACCAGTTTTTGTCTTGCCAAGATCTACCAAGGTCAATAATCACATTTTTTCTACACAATCTTCATGGAGAAGTCCTGCAGCATTAAACAGAAGAATCAGGCCAAGGGCACCATTGTAAATTCAAGGATTCACTCATAAAATACAACAAAGTTCCATTTAGCAGAAATGCAAGTACTGACCACATGTTTTTAATAATTCTGAATTTGCCTCCTGGAAATTCATATAATCATCTAACCTCCTACAACACTAACCTCATGATATGCTAGAGCATGTTTAGCATCTTTCTCCAATTGACCTATAGCAGGCATATCTAGCTAGCCACACTACCATATTAAAAGCCAAGAGTATATATGGCAAGTAGTGTACCCAAAATAGTAAAACTCAGACCACATTGTGTATGATGTTGGTTGCTTAATTTCAGCTACCTAGCAAATCACTTAGATCAATGGTGACGAGGGAGACAACCATGACATACTATAGTAGAGACTTTTTTTGGATAACCTTGGTGTCCGGGCCAGTTTTCATGCTCTCAAACTATAGTTCCATTGTATACATGTCACCTCCCACCAACATCAGGTCTCAGGTAATTCTAATACAAGAATTTAATTTGAAGCACCTATACAATTACATGCTAATAATAGAATATATCCAATGGACAAAAAAAATGCTCTACAAGATACCGACAGAGCATGGGAAAAGAAAGCATTTGGCAATTCAAAATCTAAATGAAAAATAGTAGATTGTTCGAATTAGAAAAGAGTTGCCTTTCTACCCAAACAATTCAACTTCAGAGTTCTGTTGAACATAAATATACCTGAAACATGTCAGGTGCCTTGACAAAGGCAATAATTGCATAGAGAGCTTCTTTCTTTTCATTTATGGCAGAAGCATCTTCATCCAAGAAAGTTCCCAAATACTGTATAAGAAACTTGAAAGACTCTTTTGCAGAGCTGCAAATATGGATGGGAGTCAGAGAAGAATGCAAAAATTTTAAGCACTCCAGAAAATACAAGTCATTCACTCTTACCCCTTGGTTTTCTTCATAATGTTTGAGATCTTAAGGAAGAGCCCCATATGATCTTTGACTCCAAGATTCCACTTTTCAAGAAGCTATCTATCTTTTTGAAAGATGGAAAGATATGTTCAACAACTTTTCCATTTATGGCCAAATTAAGGGCTTTCATGTACACAAAGAAACGGCTATAGGGATTCTCCAACAGGTTGTAGAGATTGAACAATCTGAAGTGAGAGGAGGAACAAAGTGCACAGTGACACTAGAAACAAAAAACTCCAGGAATTAAAGTGATTAATTTCAAGACATGATACATTTTTAAGCGAAATGCAGGCTGATCACTTGGTTGTTGAGAGAGTGTAATGGATATGAGCTCTGCCATCTCGTGTACTTGGTCCTAACTCTCAGGTTTCTTGACAAGGTTGCAGATTATAGTGAAAATGCACTCGAGATCTGAGGTAGAAATCAATTAAAGCAGATTACATAACTCAGAAAATAAACAAAACTCAGAAAACATAACATGTGAAAGGATGGTTTCAATGTGCCAGACAATCAGAGGTTGTTTCACATTGATGAAAAAAGAAGAGATGCCTCTAAATAATTTATTCAAAGACAGAAGTCCCGTATGTGCTAGATAACATAATTTGACTCAGGAATTTATTAAAATATCATGGAGAATTTCTGGTTTATATATTTTGTTGTTCTTATTGAAAAGATGTTGAGCGAGCTTGTATTCACATTGACTAATCTAACTGTAGTTTGTTACAGCACACAAGCACATGTATCGGGTAATTGTACCCACCAAGATTGGAATAGAAAGGCTCACACTCAGTGTAGTAACAAAGATTTCAACCACTGATCTTCATGCTGTTACTCCTAAGTCTTAACCACTAAGCCATTCCCATGTAGACTATTCTGGATCATTTCAATCAACTGAAATGTGAATTTTACCTTTCTCAGAAGCTTTAGAAAATATCAATGATAAATTATATACATGTACAGTATGAGGTGTTAGAGAAACATATGATAAAATCTAAAATGGACCATTTTACTCGGTTCAACATCAATCTCCAACTAACTTCCTAAAACTTTGATATTCCTATAGCTTTAGTGTTTCAAGTTCTTTTCAAACTTCTATATTCAATTTGAGATACAACAAATCTGCAACTATCGGGAACACAAACCTTAAAGCAGAATAGTAAATAGTGAACCTGGAGGATGTACTTTTACTAACCACTTGCACAATTTGCAGGTTCACAAGACATAAACAAAATAATACAAGAATTGATGCATAATAAACACAATACAAGGACAAGGCAATACAAATTACAACTCAATCCGAAATACCAGACCTCAGCAACATGGAGAATCACAAAGAGAGATGAAATACATAATTGAATTAAAAATGGAAGACGTTAGCAGATCACTGAAATTGATGAAGACAAGAACGTAATAGCTAGCTGAAGGCCTCAGAAATTGCAACTCATTAAAGAAGGAAACAACAACAGAGTCTATTAATACGACTTCGAGTATAGAATGAGATTACTTATAGGATACAAAAGTTTATCAAGGTTTACCTAAAAAGTAGAAACCCTTCAAAATTTGGGTAATACAACTACGACCTAGAATCCCAAAAATCAACAAAAATTGTATCAACAACGCAAACAATAAACCCAGATGCCATAAATTTAGACTTTTAAAGATATAATTTTTTACCTTATTCCAACAAAATCCTTAAGTGAAGCATTTTGTTCTTTAGATGGAGAGAAATATATGGCGTCGTTCTTAATGGCATCTGGCAGAGGTAAACTAGCTCATCATCTTCAACAAGAAATCGATCGTTCTTGAGAAATGTGTTCTTGAGAAAAGGCTTCGTACGTTCTTGAGGTGAACTAGCTCATCATCTTCAAGGACCTGGCAAGCTAAATGCGTTCTTGAGAAAAGGCATCGTACGTTCTATGTGGGAGTTCTTTAGACTTATTGTGATTTTTTTCTGATTTGGGGGAAAAGAAAAATTATGTTTTATTAATAGTTTTTTTTGCCCAATAAAATTGGAGGGAGAGTTGAAAATGTTGGAGGGAATATAATATTTTAGTGAAATTCTAAGGCCACATTTGCAATATGTTGTTTTTACAATTATAAAAATAGGACACTTTAAAAGTGTTGCCATATATGTAAATAGTCGTTCCCAATTATATCATACGCTAACAACGCTTATAAAGTGTAGTCTATACCTTTAAAGAGTACACTTTAGAAGTGTTGTCAATATTATTGAAGCCAAAAGTTAAAAACATGGGCTACACTTTAAAAGCGTCCCCAAAACTATTTTAGACAACACTTTACCAGATTTAGTGTGGCCGTAGACCTAAATTGGTGTAGTGTTTGCACAATATCCACACATAAGAGACATAACATTTCATAAGACATGACAAGGAAAAATAACTCATAATATAACCCAAGTATAGCATCCATCATCACATTAAGCATTTAAGGGTCAACATTCTTCAATAACTTTATTTAGAGGACTTTCATTCATTAGTCATTAAGGCATAGAGAACTCACTATAACCCTCTTGAAGCCTACGCGTGCCATGTATGGATAGCATCCCATACTACTACCCACACTTCATAGAACTCCTCAAGAAACTATAATGCACATCTCACATGATGGGAATAAGCATTTAACCGCCATAGACCATGAGAGCTAGATCATGGAATCCGATGTACTATCCCACATCGTAAGGGTTAGTCTACTTGCCTATGGTAAACCGGTATTTAGCTTAAGTGGATCCACTAGCTAGACCTATGTGGGTACATAGTTAAGGGACAAGGAGATTGTTACTAGATACCCCGCCTCAACCCACGTGACAGCATCCATCTCAAGAGATTGCTACTAGAAACCTCGCCTCAACTCATGTGAGGGCTTCCATCTCATTTAATATCCTCTCAGTGCTTAGCCTACATTCCCATATAGTATTTTAACATTCAATACATTAACGGATAAGAGATTATTACTAGACACCCCGCCTCAACTCACGTGAGGGCATCCATCTCAAACTCAACATTCATTCATTGGATAGGTCATCGATTCAAATATGTGAATAGCCTTTCATCTAAGAATACCATTATAGTTCATTAGTGTAAGATCGAGAATATCCTTTCAATCAACACATCATTATCATTCATTAGAGTACAATTGAGAATAGCCCTTCAATAAGTACTTCATCATTAACATTACCATTGAACCTCATTCATTATTCATTCAAATGTGTGTGTATGTGAGAATAGCCTTTAACATAATCATCATCGTTCACAAGTGTTAATAGAGTGATAATATTCAATCTTAACACAATTAGCTTCTAGACATGATCATCATTCATTCATTTGGAGGAGAGCAGCCCAAGTAGATACTTCTCCAGAGGTCGATGTTGATTCATTGCCAGCAGAGGCATCTTCATCTACTCCGGTTTCGGAGCCTTCAGGTATACCCGTTCCTTCTTCCCCTTCACATACTCCAGGTACATCCTCTTCCTCCCAGCCTGCCATGATCACTCAGGCCATGATCCTGAAGATGGGGCAGTTGGCCTATTCAGCTGATGTGAGAGCTACCCGACTAGAGAGGTCCGTTCCAGGGATGATTAACAGGGCC